AATACTTCGTCTCTTGAAAATGACATTGTTAGCTATAACAGTATCATGTTAAGTTTGATCAACAAACTTAACAATAATGGCACAAGGTTGGACTCCTTTGCTTCCATACAAAAAGCTTGAGCCAAATCCGGATTAGAAACAAGTAGTGTTTCAAACAAGAACTTGGTGGCAACACTCTTGATCTTTTCATTCTCAGATTGAGGTAGACCAGAAATCCTCACATTTTGTCTACAAGCAAATTGATTTGATCATAGAATTTGATTTGACTTTTCAATCTCTTGACAAAAACAGATATGAGGAGACTTTGTAGTTTCATCATAACATTTCATTTTCACCTCTAGACTTTAAACCATTTCATGCAATGTAGGAGTAGCAAAAGTTGAAGCTTGAGAACTAAACTTCTCTTCAATGTACTCAAGAGATCTAGAAATATCAAGCATGATAAAACAATTATACTATTGTCTTCTCCAAACTTTTGTGTAATATCTCCAACTCTCAAATTTGTTTATGTGTTGCATTCTGTATCTTGAATTCTTGACGGAACACTTTCAAATCTTTCAAAACCGTCTGCAAAAGATTGAATATGTTGTCTTGAGAAGTCATCATGTAGCCAATTTTGCAAAGTTTTACACTCCAATTTGACTAAGAATTTGCAAGCTAGTGCGACTTGCTGTCGCACTGGCTTGGAGAACAACTTGCTATCATTCTTCATCCCACAATATTTTAGCTCCAAATGAGATTCTAGCGCAAAATTATGGTTACTACAAAATCCAGCCTCCACAATCTAAATTCAAAGCTCCAATTTTGACAACTTTTTCAAATTGTGCAGTCATGTGCGGCTGGCCAAATTTGCCAACCACACAAAATCTCAGCTCTTGTTGACACTTGACCGCGAAGTTATAGCTATGTCAACATTGAGCCTCCGCAACCTAAACTCAAAGCTCCAAATTTGACAATTTTTTTGTGAGGTTGTCAAGTTTGGTCGGACGCACATGACTGCAAAGTTTCTACCACAACGGATGCGGTTTGAAGAAGTTGTCAAATTTGAAGCTTTGAGTTTAGGTTGTGGAGATTGGATATTGAGGTAGCCATAACTTCGAGCTGGAATGTCATTTGAAGCTAAAATTTTGTGAGTGGAAAATGTCGGCAAGTCGCACTAGCTTGCAAATTTTCAATTATAATAGAATGTAAAACTTTGCAAAGTTGGGTACATGATAGCTTCTCAAGATAACATACTCATTTGAGCATTCAAACTAGCAACGACCATGATTTACTACGGTGATGAATTCACTATAATGGGTGATATCAAATGTGAGTGATCTGTTTGATCTATTTAGGATCTCCATCTCTTGTAGCTTTGAACATGAAGATTTAGATGACAAGGAGCATTAAAAGTTGTTATTTCAACAATTTCTCCATGCGTCAAAATTGATTTCAAAACAGCAATAGATCCATAATTTCATGGGCTTTCAAAATAACAAGCTTCATCCCTAACTTTCTCCCTCATCTCTATAAATTTGTCACAGCCATCATTTTTAGTCGCTACAGGAACGAACTAATCGGAACCTGAAACTATTAGGTTTAAATGTAGTCTTCCATTGGGGTTAGAAAGTCATAAGGGCTTAAGTTTGTTTAGCTCGGCCAAAATGGCTGAGAAAGAAGTCAAGACTGTCTGAAAAGAAAGGGTTTCTTCCCTTCGGTCAAGAGACTATAGGGAGAATTTTTTTTGCAATTTTATTACATAGCACTCTAGCAGTTTTTATTCGCTGTTTTCTTTAATATATAATTTTTTGTCTAGTAATCTGATTGTTCATGGATTTCTCTGTAGTTACATCAGAAGAATCTATGATTATGTTTACTTGTGTTATGTGTATAGCTTGCAGTAAAGTTATAAAGTTTCTTTTAATAAGCAATCTCCAAATTACGTCAGTATATCAATGCTTGAATTAAAACTTGAGCATGAAGTAGATAGTATTACTTACATTATTAGTATCCATGGATTTTTTATGATGGAGAAAATATATGACGGAATATCTAGATTGGAACATTTTAAAGTAAGATTTGATTGTAATTTTCAGTTCAACTTAAACCAATTGATTGATGATCGTCTGTTCGAAGTTGTGAGAGGGTTGCAGGTTGAACAATGAACGAGAGTATAGAAAGAAATTGCTTGTAGATAAAAAATCAAGAAAATGTATCGTCACTCACATACGCAGAACCTAACTCTAGTTAACACTTGTTTCCCATCATACAAAGATCTTTGTTATTGACTATAAGATATTGGTTTCAAAATGTGTAGCAGATTTTACTGATTAAATCTTCTTGAAAGTTTACTTTTTTTTTCTTGAATGTAACATTTTTTTACCAAAAAAATGAATTCTAAAACTGACAAATTGAATTTCCGAAGACTTTCTCTATGTTGCAGAAGAGTAATCAATGGCAATTTAACTTAAGTTCATCCACTTTTGAATTTTACTCTCCAACTTCAATGAGCACAATTAAACATAATATCATATAAATATTAAAAGCCATGATATATAATTTTTTCACTTCATTGGAGTAATCCAATATGTCCAATGGTTAAGTAAAATCATTTCTTGATTGAAGCTTAGTCACTAAAGACTAACCAAATTTTGTAGATGTTAGAGTTGGTGAATGTTGCCGTTATTTGTAGGTTATGTGACGGTGGGTATATTGAAGATGAACATGTATTTATTATTTGTTTTCGGTACTGAGTCATTGGGTTTGGAGAATTTTTATTATTTATTACAGTTAATATTTTTTTATTAGGTTGTCGTATTAGTGACATCATTAGTTAACTTTTTAGTGTTTTTAACTTTAACTAAGGATTGATTGATTTTGGAGTATTTTCTATTGTTTGTAATTTTTATAGTGTTTTTTAGCCTTTTGACACTTTGGATCCGCGGGCTTATCAATTACAATAGTTCTCTTGCTTTGGCAAGTATTCTCTTGCCAACTGCACAATCTTCGTACATCTTCAGGGAAAAGAGAGCAGAGTTTCCACTATTTAATGACTTTTCCGCTTATTTAATAGCGAATTATTCTTATTTATTTATTTCTTATATCAATAATAATAAAAATCTATCTTTTCAAAAAAATTCAATAGTCGTTAATAGAATGAATTTTGAACTTGAGTTTTTTATAAATAAACTGATTGTTTTGATTTGATTCGAGATACTGCAACTGGTTAGCTTTTTAAAAAATGCAATCCCTTAGACTTGAAAGATTGAAGATTTTAAAAACGCTTCTTGTGGCAGATCTCAAGGTCTATGAATTTGTGTAAAGACAGAACGCAACACTGTCTCGTCTTCTCGTCTCACTTCGTGCGGTCCGGTCTGGCCACTCCTTACGAAGAACATAGAGTAATTTCATAAACATATCTATTCCAGCCGTGAAAGAATGGCAATGAGGGAATTGATGAGAATGAATGAGTCTAAGATCTATGCACTATCTTTTAGTCAATACTGGAGACAAAACCCCTGATGCTAAGTACATATCTTCCAGACCTTGCATTTACTGTATCTAGTAAATATCACCATTGTGGTACCTAGCATGCGACACATCATCACCAGCCGTCTTTGAAATGACGAGGTACTCGGTATCGAAGATAGAAGAGAAGGCTGAATGATACGCCGATTGGCAGGTTGTTGCAGGTTGGCATGTCCACGGAATTCACATTCTTAGAGCGTTCTTTTCTGGTCGTGGAGGGAACCAGACCGAACAAGAGCGTCAGGCTCTGGAGTGGACAGTCGAGACCACCTATTGTGCCCCAACCCGAGTTCAGTTATGATCTGCTTTTGATTCCATATGTACGCAATCATTGTAATTTGTTGTTCATTCTTAAATTACAGCAGGCCGACTTGAAGGGCATCTTCGTGTCGAAGTCATTGCAGTCATTGCATGCCTTGTTGGTAGTACGTACGTGCCATGCATGCATATAACACGAATCTCAGTGGTACCGTGGGTTTTGACATTTCTTGCATTTATAATTTATTCGTTTTTCAAAAGTCCAATAATGTATATCATTGCGTCAAAATCCTGATAGATTTGTGGAAGCCAGCCAGTCTTCACCGAACACGCCAAAGACAGCCGTCTATCAAGTAGGAAATCACATATCTCTCAGGCTATGGATGCACACCTCATTCAGCTCTTTCATGTGACGTCTGGAGTAGGGAGAGAGAATATCGTGGCATAAGCACAGTGTGATCACAAATTTCATATCTTCTATATGCCGATCATGAAGTTCAAATTATGTTGAATTTGCACTGCACTTGCACTGCACTGTACCGCTTAATCTCTCGAGAAAGGTAATCTGAATTATGGGGCATCAGATCAGTCTGGTGTATTGAAACTCCATTCTAATGATTCTCTCCAACATGCCTCCGTTACACAGTACTTTTCTTCGCGATTTCTCGTGACTTATTTTCACCCGCACTAGACCTCAACAAGAACATGTCGCTAAGCTTAAGCATTGGGACAGAAACTACACTCATACTTAGGTGCCCCACGCATCTTAATCGTTCCTGGCTGATCTCGAGGTCTATAAGACTAACTCGACAATCTCGCGTTTGCCTGTTTGGCCGTCCATGGATTCTGAAACTAGATCTCTCAAATCTGGACGGAACCAGCAAAACGACCACATCCTCCATAAGACTACGTTCTCCATGTTCTTGGACCTCGGAACACAACGACCTTTTCTCCTCCTTGACAGCGCGTGAGAACGAAAGATAAAAGACAGAAGCAAAATTTGCCCTCCACCATAGGATGACGCTAGACAGCTGTAGTGGCATCTCCGATCGGCTTGCCATTCATACATTCTTGAGTGATCTTTAAGAACAAATAAACCCTTCGGAGGCATGTCATGTACACTGGCCGCTGCGAGGCTCAAACACAGTGTCGAGTCGACTCAAAGACTCCAACTGTTGACCATCTTCGAGCCTGGTTGGCATGCTGCACTGTTGTGGAAGTTCTGCATTTATCGAGAGCTTTGGTTCTCGATAAGCGCAAAACATGTCAGTGCAATCCTAAGCAATCGTAACCGTTTGGCACAGGTATGACGAACAAGCGCATTCCGTAGTGATTTGCTCTTACAGAAGGTGTTAGAAAAGTGCAAAATTCCCTCAACTGCGAAAAAGGTTCCCGTTGGAGACAGCGTTCCTCCAGGATTCAAGGAAACAAGATGTTGGTCTTCAGCACGAAGTCTCAGACCAGGCATGGATCGTAGACCAGCTTCCTACGTTCACCATTCACACGGCGAATTCGGATTTCTCGCAGCTCACTCTTTAAAAGCGAAGTCTGTGTCTGGCTCAGAATATCTGTGCGAGTCCAAACGTTCAGCCGAAAAGTCATCGTTGATTCCGAACGTAAACAATGACTTCAATTCGTTGTTAACGAGCAGCAGCAGCTCAAGTGAGTACGATCGAATCTGATCGAAGAGTCGACCGACGCGCAGCCTCGTTACGGTGCAGTGGCGGAGCGTCAGCGTTTGAGCGAGCGATCGAGCTCAGAATGATGGGGTCCCCCATTTCATCGGTCGAGGGATTCGAACGCTCTGCCATGGAAGTTTGGAAGGAGGCTCCGATTTGAATGCGGCGCATGGAGCACCGGCGTGTCGTTGTCAGGGCGATCGTTGGAAGTCGGTCCCCGTTCAAATCTGAAGGCCGTTTCGACCCCATCGTCCGTGCAGCCGCCGTCACTCCTTATCCGCAGCTCAGCTTCTCGGCAGCTACAAATCGACTCGCCCCCTCCCTGCGCCTTGATCTCTCTCGCTCTCCCCTCGCAAGTGCACTCTCGACCTCGACATCACCGTGGACCTGGACCTGCCAGCGCAAACCGAATCGAGCCACCACCATTAGTCCTCGAGTCGCATCTTGGGCTCCAATTTCGTGCTTCCGAATCGAGTCGATCGAGAGTCGAGGCCGGCCTTCGATCCAATCGAGTCGATCGCCGATCGACGCCACAACCTAGAGAAGAATCTGCGCTCCCGGTCGCAATTCGGCAATTTCGCAATCCCCTCGCGAAGTGAGTGAGAAATCGAGAGCAGCTGCTGCGGCGGAGGAGGAGATGGGGGCAGTGGTGGGGGACGGGGGCGGGCGACGGCGGCAGCCGCATGTGAGCATGGGCGGGGCGGCGATGGACGCGCTGAACCTGCGGCCGTGCCTGGTGCATGTGCCGAGCGGGGCGGTGGTGAAGAGCTTCGTGCAGCTGTCGAAGATCGTCAAGGCCATGGGCTGGAAGGTGTTCATCGACGTGACGGCCAACGTCTGGAGCGCCTGGCACCTGCCGGCGGGCGACGGCTGCCTCATCCAGATGGTGTTCCTGCCGCACCCGCACCTCTCGGCCGCGACGCACTTCCAGCTGTCGGTCCTCGTGCAGGCGCTGGGCCAAAGCCTCTTCAACATCTCCTGCGCTCCTCTGCGCAAGTTCCGCGACTTCGCGCCCCGCGCCCTCGCCCTCGGCGACGACGCGCCCAAGCCGCTCCTGCGCGTCAAGGCCTCCGGGCGCAAGATCTTCTCCGTGCGCGCCCTGGCGCAGGTCCTGCTCCAGCACGGCTGGTCGCAGGACGGCGACTGCCACTTCTCGCGGCGCGACTCCGGCGACCGGTGCCCCGCCCACCTGCAGATCGTCAGCGTCATGAAGCTGCCCCCCGTCGACTACATTCTGCAGCTCTCGCTCCTCGACCTCGAGTATATCGTCATGGTCTCCGACAACTTGTTCTATCTCCAATCTGCGTTCCAGCAGCCCAGGTCTCTCCTCTCTCTCTCTCTCCCCACGACGTTTAGCCACTAAGTTTCATGGGATCAACTACGATGTAGGCTATCTCTCGGTATGGCTTTGGAATTGATAAATTTACTCGATCAAAACCTCAGAGTTTTAAAGATTGCTTTCAAGAAGATTTGTAACATACTCTCCGTGCATCTGCGAGTCTGAACTCTTGTCTACTCGGTCTACTTGACCCTGCGATCTCTCTCTCTCTCTCTCTCTCTCTCTCTCTCTCTCTCTCTCTCTCTCTCTCTCTCCGGAAGCTCTGAGATGAATTTCAACTGAGGTGTCCTGAGTTTTGAGCTGCCCGTTTGGTACTTCCCGTCGAACTGCAGGTGCCACAGTTTGTTTGGTTCCTGCTGTTTTATTAATTGATGTTTGCTTATTCAGAAAGCGAGATAAGAACACTCGAGAGCGGAAGAGTGCTCCAGCGAACCCGGTCAAGAAGGTTACTGCAGACTCGAAGACTACTCCCAAAGTTGCAGTTCAGAAGGTAACGGCCGATTCGCATCCTCCATCGTGCGAATCGACAAATTCGACAACAACAACTGCTACCAGTAGTTAATTTTTAACTCCAGAGAAATATGTATTTGGTCGGAGTCCTGATACGAAGAGTATTGGCACCAGCATCAAATTAAGTGTAGAACATTGTACAAAGAATGAGAAACCCATCTCGGATTTGGCACTTTAGTTCCAGTGTCTCGAAATTGAAACAGATTGCTGCAATCCAGATAATGTAAAGATAGCTCATATTAGACTGAATTGCTGGATGTCGATGTAGTCTCCAGTTTATTCTGAAACTTTTATCATGCGGGAAAGTCAAACTGTGAAGGACCCTGGTAAGCCTGTACTAGCTGTGCACCTAGGCACATCTTTGTGTTAATCTTCATGTTTCAACTTAAGACGGGTCTACCAAAATTTTAGCTCGCATGCGTCAAGTCCACTACTGTTGAAGCAGCATAATTTCTTCTACAGCTGTCAATCAGACTATGTTTTTTTTCATTTCTTTGTGCAAGACCGAAACCTGCCGTAATTCTTAAATCTCGAATTAGTTTTCGGCAGCAAACTTCACAAAGCCCATTGAGTTAGAATCTGAATCGAGTTCACTACTGAGTTCAGTCTGATTCACTTCCGACCAGGGTGTACATTGCTGTAGTTGGAAAAGCTTTCATGGGAAAGACTGCACTGTACTATCTCCGATTACAAGCCGTGCGTACTTGCGCTTCCTCCTCCGCCCACCCTAACTGACAAGTTGAACGTTGACCTCGTGTGCAAAAGAGGTCACTGATGCCTAAGCTACTTCGAGAAGACCTGTAATCGGTATCTCAGACTGACTCGAATAAGAGTAATATATTCTTGTTGTCCAACCTTTAAGACTAACGTCGTCGGGTTTGGGATGACTTGTGCATCACGCGATAACCCATGGTGTTCACCCCTGACAAAAATAAAGGCTCAGGTCTAATATTGACACGCCCGTACACTTAAAGCCAGCAAGAGAGTTTAAAGCTCCAGCCGATTATATATCATTGGAAGTGAACGAGAAAAATAGCATATTACGAACCGTGTAAGGACCCGATTGGGGATACATTCTAACCTTCCTTCATAAATAGTGAATATGTTGATCCTCATGGTTACCGAGATGAACACTTAATGCCAGAAGCTTCCGAGGAAAACATGAATAGAAGAAACTGATCAGTTTAGCGATGATATATACATCAATTTTCTTCTAGTTTTGACTGAGATTTCATGATTGACAACGAGCTGGAAAGTTTTGCTGCATGTGCCTTCCAAGAATGTTCCCAAAAACGCTACAAGGTGAATGAAGGTTGTTGAAGTAGACTAAAGATCCTGCGAATCGCGAGAAGATCAAATCTGATTCTTTTCTAAAATAGTGAAGCATCTGTGGAGGTACTGTGTAGTAGTAGTACCAATGATGGATGGAACTAACCGAGTACATCTGTTACCCAGCCGCACTCATGCAGCACATGATTTCGTTAGACATGCATGAGCACTTTATAATTGAACAACTCTTACAGGTTTCTACTGTCACTAGTAAGTTGCATATGTCCGGATTCTGACCCTCCAGGGAATGTAGCAACCTATAACTTACCCTTGAACTTATCAAGTGGAAATCTGTATCTATCTTTCTTGACACTGCTCTTTCCAAGTGATAGGTGTGCGAACGGAAGTTTAGAGCACCTTACCAAAACATGTTTTCTTGTGATAGTAAAGATCATCTCTTCTTGACATCAAACTTAGAGGAAAGGTCGAGGGAGAAGGGCAAGCTTGCACAATCTCAATCTCAGTTTTAGCAAACATTTCTTGACGAAATTTGGAATTTTTGTTGTTAGAGAAATTTATACAGCCTCTCCACCTTACATATAGAAGTAAGGTATCTTATCTCTGCATTCAATGTTCATGAGCTTGAAAAAATCGTGCAAATCACAAAAGAAAAGATAAGTCTTCTAGAAGTATAGTGAAAGTGGGGCCAAGTAGAAAGAAAAAAGTGTGGATGACCCAAGCAAGCCTAACAAGAGAAGAGTTAAACGTTGAGTTTTGACAACATCTATGGTGAAATATCATCTCAAATTACATATCTTTCAAGTATATGGTATATCATTTACGATATCTAAACTATCTGAATCCAAGAACAAAAACTCTACAACGGAAATCACCTCGTGTTTGTTTGCGGTACCTTGTGATATATTTGTTTGCATAAATTTGCTGATGTTCAAACCTTTTTCACTTTGAGAAGTATATAGTCCTTTATCCATCTTTAGCATTAACTTAACATCATCGTGGGCTTCAAAACTTAAAATTGAAAATTGAATTATCACAAAAGAAAGACCGGTTACTTATTCTACACTAAAGACAAAAGTTCTCCTTGTGTTTTCAGTAGTTCTATTACGTCTCGAGAATTGTTCGATCATGTAACAATTTTTATTGATTTGTGATTAAGTCTCCATCATGGAGGCAGGGATTCCTAGACACTTACATTGTTGACAGAATTGTAGCACAATGTTTTCATTAACCTTGGAACCTTAAAAACACCTCCATCTCATGGCTAAAAGTTCGCCCGTAGGCAACTGCATGCACCGTCATGTCTAAGACTGAGACGGTACATTCCATATAACTGATAAGTCTTCACAGAGCAACAATGTCTGTAGCTTGTAATGAAAAGGTATTCTTCAAGACTGTAGTAAGAATCGAGTTCGCAGCACGGGCCTTTCGGGAGAGGGATTACAAACTGTGATGCTTGATCTTTTCCAATTCCCTTGTCCTTGTCCCAAAATTGAAGTCATTTTCAATTATAAATTGATGCATTGACTATATGTAAAAGATCTTCAGTCTTCATGCCTTCCATATATGCTTCACCCAGAGCCCTTCGTCCAAGATGTAGCTGAGTGAGCACACTTATTGATCACATTAGCTTGTGATAACAGATCTTCCTCGGTTTCCCGAAGGCTACGTATCAACGAACATATCAGGAGAAAGCGAACGAAAGGGGAATTTCAAAATGTACCTTATGTCATCAAAACTTACATGCAGAGGGTATACTTCGCTTTTAAGATATAGAACATGAATAATATTTGATTATCTACTCCATACTAAAGGCCAGGCAGAGAGCCGAACGAAAAAATTTCAATGCTACAAGAAACGCTGCACTATCTGGAAAGTGTCTACACCGAGTCAAAGAGGTATCCAAGCCAAAGGTAGATGTAACCGTGAGGGGTGAGTCAGTACCAGAGAAAGTACTGAAAGAGATCAGAAATGGACATCAATAACTAACTCAAAAGGTTCTTCTTAATAGCTTCACACAAAAACAAAATACATGACAGAGAAGCAAAAGAAGCGCTCGAAGAGGACAAAGAAAATGTACTCCAAGCTGGCATCGATAGAACCATACAGCATCCAAGAGAGGCTCCTTGAAATAAAAGCATATATGACATTGCACAAAAACCAACGAAACAGAATGGAGGTCACCAACATAATGTGATTGCTAGAACTTGATTTAGATCTGATTATCTGCGGATATAAGTAGAGAAACCACACGAGATCCAGTCTTTATGAAAATATACAAGACAGCGGAACAACTACACACATTCAGCTGGAAGTAAGCACACAGTCACAGATCAACACATCTATCACATTCTTGTGAAATGAATGTAACATGCGATAGGCTCTTAAAATATATTGTTCGCCTTCAATGTTGAAGACGATCTGAGCTAGTCGACTTGTTGATGCTAACGTATGATTCGTACAGGATTCCAGGAGGATGAATAACAAGAAGTATATCCTGTTTGCTTGATGACGGCTGCTGTCTGTCAGTAAAATAATCAGTCAGAACTGAGGAGCTAGTTGATTCTAGAGCATCTATCATGACTGAGGACTGCTACTATGAAAAGCTAATGCCGTAGCTTATTTCGAGTTTACAGGCCTAGGCGTGATGTCTTCAGCATCAAAGCCCATGTGTCTCATGATCTCTTCAAGCCTTTCTACATTTGTAAGGTATAAGTATCCTATCTGCAAGAGAAATAACAATTTGTCAGTACCAAAATATACGATCGACTGATTCTTCCATCGTTGATCAGCATTATAACATATTGCAAGACTTACAAGAGTTTCCAACGATGATGCACTGTTATAAACCATAGTCCCAGCGCGCCTCTTTGCCTTCTTGTGACCAGCTTCGATATTTTTACCCCAACGGAGCACATCCCTGCGACATTGTGTGATGTAGAACACTATAATTTGCACATGACCTCTCAATAATCAAGTTTTCATATCGAGTGGTCTGCTACAATGGAAGGAAACTTCAACGACAGCAAACGACAGTCACAAAGCCTGCATGTGAATTTGATGCTCTTCGGAATTTGCAAGGAAACTGTGCAACACACAGCAACTCAGAGAAGTGGCTGTGCGATGCAAAACTGGGTTGGTAAACATTAGAAACTTACTTTTCTTCCTCTGTCAGAATCTTTTTCTTCAGAAGATCCAGGAGCAAGGCGTGCTGCAAAGCCATGAGTCAAATGTCAATCACTTCAGATGTAAACCGCAATTTAAAGTTTTTTCCACTAAGAAATACCGTAGATTGAACGACAAGACAGAAAAGTGTAGTCGTAGGTGTGTGCCTTTACACCCCGCATCCAGGCTCAGAGGTGCTAACAAGAAGGTCAGACTTAAACAATGATTATACTGATCCTAAAAAATGAATTGTTGCGCTATTCCATAACTTGTAAGAAGTCATACAAACCACCCACATATGAATATCTTTGATGGAGCCGAGACAAACAAGCACCCACACAGCTCTACACTCTCAATACCTAATTCGGTGTCAAGCTAGTTACCTGGGCTTCACAGCAAACCAACGCCATAACCCGTTGATTGAATTTATCCATGGTTTGAGGCGGAGTCAAAAAATGCCGTCTAACATATAGCTGCATTCCTTTGGTACAAGGGAAAACAAACTTCAGCGTCTTTGATGTCCACTGCAATAATTTGAACTCCATGCGATCGAAGGAACTAGTACGAATTGCGAGATGGTAATGGATTTCGTAAAAGAAAGGATGAATCACCTCGTATACAGCATCCCCCATGTACGCCAGAGCTGCAGCATTGTGCACTGCTCGAGGCTTCTCAACCACAGGTGCTTCAGGTAACCATGGTTGCTGTCCACGACCCTTCGCATCTTGCTTTTGCTTACCTGCAAGATTGCAGACCGGCAGTGCATCAACATGAGAATTCGAGGCTTGAAGTCGCCAGCCGGAATGAGCAACTTCACTAAGAGATGATGCGCGGTTTAATTGCCACTCTTCCACATTCGAAACCGTAAGAAATGCCGCCTGCCGGCCGCTAAACGAGACTGCCTAACCCTCAGCGCCCATCAGGTGCCAAACAGCCGATCATCGTCATTGCATTCTTCACATTCTAAAGATGACGAAATCAACAACTGACATCAAATGCGTCACCGTCTGGGACTGAATTCCACAATCCATTTTCAATACTTTCACCACTACCCGTCTGAAAGAATTCGACGGTGCCACGAAAGCAAGAAAAAGGGAAGGATACCATCGGAGCCAATTGGACTTCGCTTCAACAGTTGTGACAAGTTCACCCTCTGCTTTACAGGCGAATTCGTGATCTGCTCCGGGCGTACAGACGATTTGCTTGACTTCTCGCCAACGTCAAGGAGACGCGACGATGATGACCCAGATTGACTCCAAGGCCACGCAGCGGACCGGGTAAGTAGCCAGTGAGGTGGCAAAATTCCGGGCGACGGCCGTAGAAACACAACTCCTGATGCAGTCAGCACCATCGCATCTGCGCCTTTACATACAACAGATTTCTAGTCTCAGAAGCAATGTAGCACTAGGATTATCCCCACAGTGGGACAATCAAAAAGGAGGAAAAGGATAGAAACCCCAGCAGCTGCCCACCAGTCTCAAAATATCCCCAGTAAGCTGGTATGATCAGAACGCCTCAGATTCCATGAGCAGGCCCAACGGAGACATTCGTCTCACGGTGAAAAATGTGTGAATGCTACGCTGCTTATCCACCTTTCCCATTATTTTAAACCAAGTCAAAGTCCAAAAGCGGATTCCTCACATGTAACAAACCCAGAGCTGGCGAAGCTGGCTAGCAGATTCCACTGCAGAGCACAATTCAACAAAAAAGTCTGATTGAGCTTATCTCAAACCAATCATCCACTCATTAAGGGGTCCAATCTGACCCCGCTCCTTCACCATTCCGAAGAAAAACCAAAAGCAGATTCACTAATTTGAAAACCGCAATCCTGCTCGACAGATTCAACCTCCACAGACGAGACTACAACGAGCACCCCCTTCCGCTCTGTGCCGCTAGATTCCAACAGATTTGGGTTCTATTTGCCCTCCATCTGTCCATGAAAACTCCTGCCAACTGACATCATTCCGGGTAGATGTGGGTACTTCTTCGTACTTGGCGGCTAGACGAATGTCACCTACACAGGACCCGGGTCTCACATTCAGGGCCCGGGAACTCGTCAAAGATGGAGAAGCTGTATGACTTTCGACGATAGGATCAGCTTAGACTCACCGCCATCGGCACCCATTATCTTAAAACCTAATGGCAATTGGTACGCATGAGGCAGGCCGTATCTGGACAAGCTCATGTATACGTAAACCAAAATGAAGACACCACCGGACCTCGATGGTCAACTGTCAAGAACACGTCTGCTGCAAGCAGGCGGGGAGGCAGGCAAGGTAGGCAGGCCAGAACCTTATCTTACGACCTACGATGAAATCCCTAGCTACTTGCTTTCTTGCAGTAGATACACAGACCTACAGAGCGAGAATTGGGGTCTGCGTATACACCTTCACGGAATAAAATTCAGTACTCAAACTCTCATCGGCGGCAAATTCACGGAGCAAATGATGAGCCTCACGGGTCCTGCACGAGGCGACTGCGCGTGGAATATTGCGGAAACACCAAACTCTTTTGACCACGGGCAAGGAGCACGGCGAGCGAGCGAGCCAGCCAGCCAGCCAGCAAGTGCAGTCAACACCCAGGTCGCAGTGTCAATCGCCCCGCGTTGTACCTGGACATGCGCTCGGCCACCATGGAACCTTCGAAAATTCTACGTGCTCCACAACGCAATGCTTTCCTTCGCGGAGGTACAACTGCAATCGATCTGGGCGACGTGGACTCTAAGCGATGGATGGCCCCGCTTACCTCACTGGCTCGATCACTCGCACCCCAAGGCCGCAACGATGCTCTCTGATCTCCTCGTCTGACCGACTTGCTCACCTCTCGCAACAGGTGTTGGAATTTCGAGCGCATTGGGCCTCCTGCACGCGAATCCTCATCATGACGACTGCGGACGATCTTTGTTGTTTGCTCGGACAGTGCGAAGCCAGAGCGCGCGCAGGGTTTATCTCCCGCTCCTGGGGTTTAGCCACCGGACCGCCCGGTCGCTTTGGCTAACTTGGACTGCCTCCACCGCCAATTTCTCCCCCAACTCTCTCTTTCTTTAGTCCTCTGTACGACTCCTTGCATTTACTTCGACTTCTATTAGTGGATTATATCCGCAAAGATTTTTCGTATGTGTTCTCTCGTTATTCTACTGGTTTTTGCTTCACACATTTCTATGCATAGCCAATTGCAGTCTCTTACCGTCGACAACATGCTTAATTAGGTCTTGTAAATTCAAACCGTTAACATGGAGCTATGCACCAATATCACAGAATGTTCGAGGCTGGTATCTCTTTATAAGTTATTATATGAGTCTTTGCAGACGCTACTGTAGCGTGGGATTCTGAGTTGTAATAGAAGATGGGCAAATTCCACTTTTTTAGTGATGTATAAGCTTGTCTACCAAAGTTATAGTATATGTGGTGTTTTTGGTAGTCCATCACTTGAGTCATCCACCGCTCGTATCCACCGTGAAAATTATATTCTTTAGTTTCTCAAACTATCCAACCCATACTTAGTGTACTTTGTATGGTGGATAACTAGAATGGTTCTAGAATTTGATGGCAGTTATCAGCGATCCATATTGTTTATGGATTATGAAGCTCGTACGTTGTCGAATACATTGACTTGCCGTGAGATTTTCATATAGTAGTCTTGTTATAACATTACAATAATCTATGAGATATGTTGTCCTTGAATTAATGATCTGAGCTCTACTCTATGTCAATGGATCAAGAATTTCAGCATGCTCTACATTGCGCATCAGTGGTTTATGCTAGATTAAAGGCGAATCTTCTTCTAAAATACATCAATTTTTTCAACTATATCAACTAGCTGTGTTGATTCAATTTTGGTGTGTGATTGCTTCATACATTTTATCTTCGTCACTCTTAAACTCATATGTAAGTGTGATTTAAATCTTAAATTGAAACGTCTTTTTGTCCCGCAGTTTAAAAACTAGTATTAAAAATCAAGAACAATTATGATCTTTTATTCCATTAAAATCTTACAATATCTTGATTACGATGACTTTGGATTCATTGTAAAACTTTAAAAATCATTGGTAGATTCAAGTTTTATGATATCATGATGTTCATAATTCTTCTTGGTGAGACATGATATTGATAAACACATAATAGTAATAATGATCATGATGATAAAAGAAATTTATCTAAAAAATTGATTTTTGATTAAATAATATACGAAGTTTAAAGTGTATACTATCTGAAATATGAATTGAATGCTACATGCTCTATGACAGTATTACCTGGTGTATATGTAATTATATGCATTTATTTATCCAAAATATGATTTGTATCTTATCTTGAGGCTTAACCTATGATTTAATTTGAAATTTTCTTGGTGATTTTTCTTTCAGTTTTTTAATAAAAACTATGACTACAATATTTTCAACAATATTTTTTTATTTGTTTTAGAAACTACGGATTTAGATTTTTACTCAACAAAAAATGAATTCCAATAATTTCGATTATTCAATCATTGTCATTTTTTACAAACAAACAAAGGAATTTGATTCTTGAATTTCATATCTAACAAACATACTATTCGCACGTTAAATAGTTTTTTAAAAATGGAAATCTAAATCAATTCATATCAAAATATTTTTCATTTTCATTTTTATTACTATTCGCAAAAATTTAATATCTGGATTTATTTTCTTTGAATTTCAAATTTTTTATTAAAGAAAAATTAGAATTTTTAAATAATCTTTAAAATTATGATATATTTTTCTCATGAAATAGTTGTTGCAATTTTTAATTTTTTTTTAATATTATTTAAATTTTCATTAAAAATAAATAAAATAATAAAAGCTCACACATTTGGTAACAAATAATGTAATATCAAAGTCAATTGAATCATTGGCACGATATTGCAATGATTTACTATTGAAGAATAGAATTCAAATCTCATTTTATTAAAGGAAATTTTGATAAAAATGATCTTTTCTTTAATATTTTTTTAAATATAAGTTCAAATATGGAAAAAATCCTAAATATTTAAGATTACATTGGTTTTTCAAAAAATTACCTTTATATCTCTAAAATTTTTTGTCAAAATATTTTTCAATAATTTTGATCATGATATATTTAAATAGAGTATATATTTGATCAAAAAATTCACAATTTAGTAAATTATATTAAAATGTTTGATTCTTGAATGCATAGGTGTGCATAGGTGTGAATACAAATTTTCTTTATATGATTTCATCAATATTGCAAGCTATTTATGAAAAGAGATGAAAAACTATTGCATAAATAAATTTGTATATGTTACAAACATTCTATATTAAATGTATATCATTTGCAAATGACATAAATAAAAAACTTGAAAAATATGCGAGACTCATGAAAAAAATTCTTCAAACTAAAATAAGAATGAAATAATATTCATATTATTTTTTAAAATTTTCAAAAAGTAATTATTCGGATATAATAAATATATATGATTTGGACTAATTATATCTATTCTATTTATGCAATCAATCTTTAAGCATGCATTGCAATTTTAGTGCTGAATAAATATTAAATCTTAAATTATAATGGTGTGAAAATAACTTCATTTTCATTTTACTAAGCTTCATATTACATGAAGTTAGAAATATCAATTTTTGACTTTATTTTTTCTTATCCATGAAACAACTATAATTTCATGACATACAATTATGGATTTTGTTTTCATATCATCTAAATGCATTGTTTCATATATAACATTCTTGGTACACCCCCGAGGATATCATTGAATAAATACAAAGGTAGAGAATCATAATTAGATTATTAGAATGCTACAATTAAAAATAAAGTTGGAAATTTAGAAGAAGATTTTTTCCTAGAGAAGAAACTATTTGCCAGTATGATGTTATTGGTTCTAGCCCCACCATGAAACTTTGTTTCCGACTTATGGAGTATTCCTAGCTTTTTTAGCTATATTTTGTCACCCTGGGAATATATGGTCAAATTTAACTGCCCGAAGTGTAAGCATTAAACTACTTGAATCCATCCTTCTATTCCAGCCTATCCAAATTCCAATTTCCTCAGCTTTCGGCTCGTTTGGGTCATAACATTGGCCCCGTCATCCGGCCAACTGCCAAACCAAGTAGGCTTGGCTTCTTCTTTCTCTTCCTTGCCCTCCATGCACAAAGTCCATCCGGATCAACAAGGTCCATAACTTCTGGTTATCCCCATGCTGTGGCCACTTTCTGCCATGCTCTTGTCAACCAACTTACTCCAGCCTTGTACACGTAACAAGGGTCCTCACTTCATCGTCCCAACGCTATTTGTTTGCATTCCTTTGCCACATCTCTCGACGTTCACTTCGTTTGAAAAATTGGCCCATTGTTGGAGCCAGTTAGCACCTTCCGCGAGAGGAAACGGACTCTGAATAATGATTGTGAAACATCGGTCTGCTATTTCTCCACGATCTACAAAGCATAAACTTTTGCACGTTAACATGATTGCGACACGTTCTTTATTGGCAAGTCTACTGCTGTAAAGGGCAGGAAACGGAGGATCGCTGTCGGTCAATTGCTTGTCAACATGGACGATAGACGCTAAATGAAATGGGGTGAAGCATTTTCTTCCAACTGAAAAATTGCTTGACTTACGCGTCTTCCAGAATTCTGGCCAACTTCCTCAGTCTCCTTGTACGCTGTCGATGGTCTTCGTCAGCGATACGGTAATAGATTCTTCGAGACTGACCCCATTCACATTCTGCCGTGTTTTCGGTCATTTGTAGTCAAAGTTGGTTGCATGTTGAAGTGGAATGATATGTTCGAAATCGAAAATATCATACAGCAGTCGAAAGAAATAGCTTGGGCATCAACGTGGGGAAGCAGTCTTACCTCAACACAATGCATGCTAGATTGTGATCATTGTCGCTGGATGGAGGTAAAGTGGACCTATATGATGTATATTCAAGGTTCCGATGAGGTAAAATTGCCCTCCTCTCCCTCCCATCCTTTCCTTTATTCTTATTGGAAGATGCTCGTATACTTGCTACAGAAATCTCCGCAGATATTAAACAGCTCTTTGCACTGGAATTTTAAATCGAATATCTGAATTGAGGTTGCTGAGAAAGAAACGGAGATGTCAGTGTATCAACATGATACTCAATCCAAACCCCAAGTACGGTTCTGTCCGGTATGAAACATAATACTCTAATCAACTCCAGAATGGTATTGGACATCAATAACTCCTGTTATCTTAGCGTTTGCTACTAAATGGTCTGGATATACATCACACCCTCATTTATACACATTTGGTTCAATACAGTAAACAACAACTTCATCCCTCTTTGACTCTCAACCGTCCAACGTGTGATATCGAAACAGAGACCTCATCTCATCGCGATGGATTTAACAGTACTTGATGAGCTGAAAGTGTCATATAGTACGTACGGACTTGGATTGCCCGGGAACATAGCACCACGCTACCAAGTTCTGGAAAGAACATGTTGAGCTTCCTGCCCTGCTCATTTGTTGTCATCGTAGATGAATCTGGACACTTTGCTTGCTCTACAAGTAGTCAGCTGGTGTTGTGTAGACTACTGTGCACCGGTGAGTTTTCGCCACATAAGAAGGCCAACATGCCTGAGTCATCAATCACAAGCGGTAGCTTTATTTTATGAATGTCGCATTCCCAGAATATAAGAAATGCGAAATTCATGTCTTGTATCTTTGAAGCTCAAACATGCACAGGTTGGCTGGGATGTTCCAAACGACGGAATTGGGGCCACTTTTCCTTTTTGCAACTTGGTCAACATGCAGATTTGAAACATTTCAAGCAGAAAATGTTGGACTTTTGGTTGCTTTTGACATGCATCAAATTGTCTTCCTCTCTGTGACTTACAATTGAATCCTAGAGCCCACGCAACTTTTGAATTGGATTGATGATGAAGAGAATCTAAGAATCATATCTTTTGTTCATTTATCCCGTTCTCCAACCTCAAGACACACAAACCTTTATTTATGTATTTCGCTTTAGAAATTTGAACAGAAGATCCCGTGAAACATGTAGTTCCAAAATTTAAACAGCGGCAGAGAAGCTTTTTCGATATTTTCGATGCTTTGCGTCTTTCAGGTTCATCGACGAACAAAGTCAGGAGCTTTGAAAACTCGAGAGCAAGAAATCCAAACCCTCCCGACCAAGAGATACTGGGGCAGAACACGGAGCTAACTATGGTGGACAATTGATAGCTTGGAGACAAACTGACACTCAAATGAGGTTGTGGATTGAGAACATGAATGCAAGGGATTGTGCTTGAAACCGGCCTGAACAGCTGTTAGAACAGATGATGAGGATTCAAACCAGTTATGCGTTAGTTCGTTAAACTCTAGTTTAGCGTAAAAAAGCCACAGCCAGAGAGAAGAAGCCACGTCTCAGTCGGAGGATCGAAGTGTGTAGATGCTATACGCTTTGACTCGGACGGAAAACTGTTAGTCACTGAATCTTCGAGCTTATGACATCAACGAATGAACAGACTACGATGAAGATTTCGAACGGGGGATTTTACAGTCATCACGAGATTCTTGGCCATTCCCAAAAGTCCTGGATGATATGCATGTTCTCCTTCCAGGAATCCATTCGGAAAGTCAATCGAGGCAGTCAAGGTCACTGTGAGGATACATATTCGGCTCCTCATAATGAAAATGAACACAATCTTTCCTACCCCATACCAGCCGTCCTTCAAAGAGACCCGGAAGGGTGGAAAAGATCCACCTCTATTATGTTTTTGTGGCAAGGTCGACATGAGGAGGTCTGACCCGACAGTGCATTCCTTGATCGCTCCTCCCCCAGTCCAAACCATGGGAATTCAGAGGCAGACCAACAAATTCTCCCACGCTTCGAAAAAGCGAGCATGGCATGATAATGAGGACGCATAACACCGGCTGATAGATCCCCACCTCCATTATGTGGTCTTTTCTCTTTCTACTTTCAAGGACAGAACACGGCTACTAGCTACGTTGCTGTTGGTGTCGTAATGTCCTCGTATCTCCAAACACAATCGTCAGTCTGATCTCGGTACACCCGGCCAATCCCATCACCAACCTCACCACGCTACGTCCTTTTTCCCCCAACACTCGATCCTCACAGGTCATGCATTGACTCACCAGTTCGAACCTTACTAACAAGAAACTCGAACCACGTTCCCCGAGAAAACCACCCACAGACACCACAAGGAGGTATATTTGACCGCCTTGTCGCTCGTCCCAGCGTCTGGACCAATCCCGCTCCGCCTCATCGCCACTAAAGCAACGCATTCGCTGTGCAGTTGACGCCTGCTTTAAGTGTATTGTATTAACCGCGAACCTCTTAACCTACCGTGATCGTGCCCACAAGACCACCGCACAAAGCATGTAGCTTTCAGAACGCCATAGCTGTGGATATCTGATTCATAATAACATCATCAAAAGTGTCCGACGCATGTGACCCGTTTGTCGTAAACAAGATTATCGTTCACAACTGTGACAAGAAATAGTCTCCTAATGTCCATTAGACTCTACGGCATGGTGTTATCAGTGTTATCTAAGGCAGAAGCGTATGGAGGTAATTCATAGCCCCCGGGATCAGATAGTCCTGAACGGCATCTTACACGATGGGATCATAATCTAAGGAGTACTCGATTTTTTACCTTTCAATATTAATACATCTTTTCTCGTAGGGAGCATCCACGTAAACTCGACTTTGTTCACTACCTTCTGCCGTACAGCAGACTATTTTAAGTGCCTCTTTTCGATTGAAACAAGAACCAAGAATTTCTTTACTCGGTACAAATGGAGATTAGCTTCACCCTGCAGTTGTCGTGACTGGAATTGGAAGTGGTCTTCCGTGGATAAAGACAAGATTGACCCGGACAAATTCTACGGATCGACATCCTAAGCTGCCTGACAACTAAGAGCTTTGATTTGTGACATTCGGTGGGCTGCTTTGTGTGGAGCAAATTCATATATTCGGAGATCTTGTTAGGCTTCATTCCAAATCAACCGCATGAAGCATGCGTTGTGGGGACGTGGTACACAAAGTGCTCCCTTTGATTATCGAAGTGACGAAGCAACCCAGTTCTGTCAACTGCATTGAGTACAGATCAACTCCCATGTCCGAGTACCCCATTTTCGTTCATCTCCTCGTGAACTCGCGAGCTCCCATCCTGTCCGGTTATACTGCGAAATGCTAATCGACTAAAACTGTTTTCCTATGGTTCGACACAGACAAATTCTTGGACTTGACAATGTCACAGCACTCGGTACACCTTCTACGGCATTAGTGTGCATCATGTGGATAGAAGCACGCGTAGAGAGGTGACTAAACTTCATAGTCGTGAGACAGAGTGGTGTAAACACTGTGTGAATACACTAATTTGAGTGCATGATTAGCGTTAACATCTGCTCTACAATCACTCCAGTTGATGGAGGAATGTCTTCCTACACCACAAGTATTTCTTTCGCAAAATCTTTCACTAGAATATTTTAGATTCAGACCTGCCGGAGAGCATGCGACTTTGCATTATTACTTTGAATTAAATCAGAAAGGTGTATGAAAAGCTCACTGTAATTATAAAGAATGTGTTTCTCTATCTGCCATAAACCAGTTTTGTAGGGAATGAAATTCCTGATCCAGAACTTAATCGGTGAGAGTGCCTAGATGAAGCCCCCAATTACTGTTAAAAAATACTAGTGCACAGCATTTGAGACTAGCTCTAAATATATTGCACACTAACTACGGAAATGGATGTATAGCAGTCAAAGACAGCAGATAATAGTAGTGAGTCTATCGTTGGAGCAAGATGGAGTATCGTGGACCACACACGATAGAGTGTTTCTTGAACTAGTATTGAGGTTATATATACTCGGTTGATAATATCCATGTTATTTTTCATATCCCTCTATAGTGTGGTTGTTAAAACCACATTGTAGAGGGGCATAATTACAGTTATAGAAGGTTAATATGAGTCATTTAGATGAACGGTTGCTTCAAACAATGTCAAATATATATTTCGCACGGAGATTTCGTATTTTATTTATAATTTTTTTCGTTATAGAAATTTCCACATCCACTATTTGAGAAAATGAACGAAAGCTAAATATGTTATATTTGAATGATAACTTCATATGGCATGATAATTCATAAAGTCTTTTTATTAACTCATCTTTCAATGATAATAAATATAAAACTTTCACATCAGAAATTATTATTTTTGATTTGTGATTCTTCTCTTTTACTATCACCTTAATCTTATTGATTGAAGTATTATAAATATAATGTTATGTATATTTTATTTTAATATTATTGAATTAGAATAAAAACAAAAATTTAAATTTAGTTTTGGTTTTTTTCCTTTTGTTCTTGACGTATAATACAGGAATTCTGTTGGTAAACGCTTCAGTTTCATTACATCTTATGCTCTACACCATCTCCATTCCATCTCGCGACATATCCCTAGATATATACGATACATACTATTGCCCATTTGGATAAGCTTCAGGTCGGTGATTTTATGTCTTTTGGTACACATCGACTTCCGTCAACTAAAATTATACTTATACACTGCGAAATCATTAAGTATTCAGTTGTCCTTGGGAAATGAGACATTTGTTTCTAGCTTGCATATTTGTTACATGAAGTAACTTTGGCGAATGGCTGCAGCACTCGAGGGATTCGCAAATCCGTCGTAAAGACCGGATTGTTGTTTGATTAATCATCTTCTATTCTAATCACTGACTGAGAAGAAGAGAGTGGAGATCTTACCGATAATTTGGTTTATTGGAGCTTGTCTCCGAATATTCCAAGAACAGCATTGCTACAAACTGATGTCTGCACTCAGACCTGTTGAATTTTACACACTCAACTCGCGCTCATAGTGGTTCATTGCAAACTACGGCTGCAGAAACATAGTGTTCGTTGAAGTAACAAACTATGGTTCCAATTCTGTTTAACAAAGTTGACTTTGTTGTATGAATTGAGTGTGACATATATTACTAATGAAAAAATTATCAATACATACTTTCTAAAGTCAATGATTAATAACCTTGAGAGAGTAGATATTCGTTAATTTTTTCTATAGAGTGGATGTTATACAGATCCTATGCACATTGATCATTATTTTCAAAAATATTGACCAAAAAATTATGTGATTCAACTCTAAAAACTTGTATTCATAGAGTAAATAAATTTTTTTATTTACAATTCATAGTGTATCTCATAAAATCTATTTCATCATTATTTAACCATAAATGTTGTTATATAATCAAACATAATAAAATTTCCGAAATATAAATCAACTAAATTGATTAAACTTTACTTCCGAGAAATGTGTATACGTACTAAAAATTTTTCATATTTTTCTCACTGTATATTCTTATCTATAGATTTATTATACTAAACCTTGCAGTTAGGACTACAACGTTTTATATTTTCTTTTGCACAACATTTTTGCTACGCTTTCTAATCTATAAATTATTTATCTACTAAAATATTTGTAAGTTATGTGACGGTGAAAATATTGAGGATGAAGAACATGTGTTTGTTACATGTTATTTGTATGAGGAGATTAGACTTGATCATAAATAAATGTAGAGAATTTCTATTCTCTGTTCCAGCTTGTGGCCTTTGATTTAGCTTGTTATATTAAGTACGTCATTGGTCATAGTTTTAGTGATCTTGGCACTAGCTAGGGGTTGATTTTTCAGAATTTTTTTCTTATATAGTGGATGTTTTGATTTGTATTGTGTTTTTCAGCTTTTGACCCTTTGGATCCCACGGTCTTGATCTATAAACCAATAACCATATATTGAAATATTGTTAAAATGTGTATAATATGATAAAACTAAATCTCAAAATCTAGATTGAAAAATATTTTACGCAAAGTCTAGTGTTATAATTTTTTTCTTCTTCTATTTCATTCACATCTCTATTTGAAAATATTTTTAAAAAAAATTGTTGAAACAGGTATCATTATAACAAACCTTTCCGTTTGTAAAATTTTTGATGTTCACAACTGAATCATAGTCTTAAAAGTTTGTGAGTTTGCAAATGAATGAAAAATAAGAGTTGTGAATAAATAAATGATAGATTGTTTAGAGATTTGAGTCATATTTTCATAGCTTGCTTTACTTCATAAGCAGCTTGTGCAGTTTATGATAAGCATCATATTCATTCATGCTTAAGCATATGAAGGCATTAACCTGATGACATTTTTCTTACTTTTATAATTGTGCTTGTTTTGTATTAGAAAAAATAATAGTGTACATAAACATTGGCAGCTGAATCTTTGAGGAGAGTGATCTACATTGCAAGAGAATATTGTAATGACATAAGTTGAATTTGGGTTTGTTCACAAGATGAGTTTTATATGACTTGAAAGTGACAATGTAGCATCTTAGTGCATGTTCAAGACTATTAGAGTTTACGTGGAGTAATCATCTTTGGACTAGGATTAGTAGTAAATTTAATTGTGTTTTATATATTATTTTTTAAAATAGTGAAGTATGAACTAAAGTAGTCATTACGTATTTACATTCTTTTTCCAATTCATTATATAAAGACTACAAATATTTCAAAGAAATAGTACGTAGTAATACAAAACTATCAATTATTATATTTTGAATCTTCTTCAAAGTGAAAGTTAAAACACTTCTAATGGATTTTCAAATACAAATCTGGGTGGGTTTTATCTCCTCATATTTTAAAATTGTTTCATGTTGTTCTATCTTCTATCAACATGTCATTTCATAAAAGCTAGAGATTGATATATCATTTACTAATGATCAGACAAAAAGATCTTTTCAAGGATTTCCATTTGTCATGTGTCATAATCTTGTCTATTTCTTTTGGCCATTGAAGTTGGTTGAGTCATCTTCTTACCGGATGATATTAGACACAACTTTATAAACTTGATTACCAGATCTCATCATTTTTTGGCCTCGCGTGTTTTATGAGAGAAGTCTAAGTGCAATGGAAAAGCTTTGTTTTGCGTCTTCATCATTTTTAAGAAATCTTTTGATATTGTACCTAGTGAGCTCTTTTAGTAAAGGTTGGTAGCAGTTATGATCATGTTTTACCATTTTATTTCGATCAAGATCAACACTTCTCAAATTGAAGAGATTTTGAGTACCATTGGAGTGATTCAAGGTTGTACTATCTTGTTACTTTATTTGAAGTTTGCATAGATGATATCAAAGAGTGGTTGGAGACATGTGATAGTGAAGAAGTTTGTAACCTTTGTTATCAAAGCTATCTTGTATGCAGATGATATCATATTACTAGCACGTGATGCGATTAGTTTACATAAACACCTATACACTTTGACTAGCTTTTGTACCCAGAATCAAATGTAGTCAAAT